AAGAAAAAGTAACAAGAAACATAAAGAGGTGACTTTTATGCATGCTAAAGAAAGGACAAGAGATCCTCAGGAAGAAAGAAGGCTGTGCCTTACATGAGGGGAAGAACAAGTTTACCTGGTAATTGAGAGCTGATGAGAAATCTTTCTGTTCGAAAGCCTCCAACATCTGGTTTGTCTTTTTCCCCAGGTAGTTATAGGTACTGGCAAGAAAAGAGGAAATATTACAAACTTAATAACTCAATGGAAAAAATTCAGCCCTTCATACCTGTTTGATGAAGAAGGCTGTGCCTTACATGAGGGGAAGAACAAGTTTACCTGGTAATTGAGAGCTGATGAGAAATCTTTCTGTTCGAAAGCCTCCAACATCTGGTTTGTCTTTTTCCCCAGGTAGTTATAGGTACTGGCAAGAAAAGAGGAAATATTACAAACTTAATAACTCAATGGAAAAAATTCAGCCCTTCATACCTGTTTGATGTTTAAAAAGGCAAAGATAGGGGCTGGAGATAAAGGCTCAGAGGTAGAGTGCTTACCTAGCATGTGCAAGGCCCTAGGTTCAATCACTCCCCGCCTCAAAAACAACAACAACAACAAAACACAACCCCCACCACCAACCAACCACCCCCTCCAAATACAACAAACATAAAACAAACAAAACCAACAAAGAAAGAGTATCCAAATTTGGTTCTGGGTGTAGCATGGTAGTACAGTAAGTGTTTAGCATGCATCTGGCTCTGGGTTTGATCATCATCATAAAAAAGAATCCAAGCTGCCTTTAATCCCAGCACTTGTGAGGCAGAGGCAGGCAGATCTCTGTGAGTTCCAGTCAGTGCTATGTAGTGAGATTATGCCTCAAAAACAACAACAACAACAAAACACAACCCCCACCACCAACCAACCACCCCCTCCAAATACAACAAACATAAAACAAACAAAACCAACAAAGAAAGAGTATCCAAATTTGGTTCTGGGTGTAGCATGGTAGTACAGTAAGTGTTTAGCATGCATCTGGCTCTGGGTTTGATCATCATCATAAAAAAGAATCCAAGCTGCCTTTAATCCCAGCACTTGTGAGGCAGAGGCAGGCAGATCTCTGTGAGTTCCAGTCAGTGCTATGTAGTGAGATTATGCCTCAAAAACAACAACAACAACAAAACACAACCCCCACCACCAACCAACCACCCCCTCCAAATACAACAAACATAAAACAAACAAAACCAACAAAGAAAGAGTATCCAAATTTGGTTCTGGGTGTAGCATGGTAGTACAGTAAGTGTTTAGCATGCATCTGGCTCTGGGTTTGATCATCATCATAAAAAAGAATCCAAGCTGCCTTTAATCCCAGCACTTGTGAGGCAGAGGCAGGCAGATCTCTGTGAGTTCCAGTCAGTGCTATGTAGTGAGATTATGCCTCAAAAACAACAACAACAACAAAACACAACCCCCACCACCAACCAACCACCCCCTCCAAATACAACAAACATAAAACAAACAAAACCAACAAAGAAAGAGTATCCAAATTTGGTTCTGGGTGTAGCATGGTAGTACAGTAAGTGTTTAGCATGCATCTGGCTCTGGGTTTGATCATCATCATAAAAAAGAATCCAAGCTGCCTTTAATCCCAGCACTTGTGAGGCAGAGGCAGGCAGATCTCTGTGAGTTCCAGTCAGTGCTATGTAGTGAGATTATGCCTCAAAAACAACAACAACAACAAAACACAACCCCCACCACCAACCAACCACCCCCTCCAAATACAACAAACATAAAACAAACAAAACCAACAAAGAAAGAGTATCCAAATTTGGTTCTGGGTGTAGCATGGTAGTACAGTAAGTGTTTAGCATGCATCTGGCTCTGGGTTTGATCATCATCATAAAAAAGAATCCAAGCTGCCTTTAATCCCAGCACTTGGGAGGCAGAGGCAGGCAGATCTCTGTGAGTTCAAGGACCGCTGGGGCTACAGGGAGACCCAGTCTCAAAAAGACCAAAAACAACAACAAAAAATCCAAGCCAATAGTACTTATCAATCATATATGCACACATTATGAACGCTACCTTAATTGCCAGATACTTTTTCTACCTAGAGGAAATGTACCCACCTGCTCCCAACCCCCCTCCCCCGAGCCCAGTTCCCTCTTTTTAGTTTGCAAATGCAAACCTTTCACTATGCCTGCAGGAATATTCTAATTAGTAAGGTTAGGGAGAGCCTGGATGCACACTTAGAACTCCCTGTCTTCTGCAGGGTAGGCACCAGGTCACAAGATTGTGGCTTCCAAGACATGACTGACTCAATTTCTGATGAACACTTGACTAAGCCAGTCAAGGATATCCTGAAATGGCAATTTGGGAATACCAGGGATAGCCATATATATGAGGAAGTGGAGAAAGGTGAGAAAAGAGAAGAAACATAGAGAGGCCCAGAAGCAGAGGTGAGTGCCACCATCACCGGAGGGAGGCTGACTCACCTTGGCTGTTGAGAGCAGTTTCTGGCTTTTATACTCTCTAGGGTCTGGCTTATTTATCTCTCTTGGGTTTTATGTAATTTGCCAGAATTTCATACTAATTTATCTGAACTCTTTTTTGAGGATTTTTTTTTTTGAGACATGGTCTCCCTGTAGCCCCAGCTATCCTGGAACTTGCTAGGTAGACCAGGCTGGTCTTGAACTCATGGAGATCAGCCTGCCTCTGCCTCCTGAGTGCTGGGATTAAAGGCGTGCACCACCATGCCCGGCTTAATTTATCATTTTTTTTACACAGGATAGTTTGAATGGATTTCTGTCATTTGTAACTAAATTTCTGACAAAAAGCATGAGCTTTGAGATGCTGATTGTCAGGGCCTACAGAGATAACAGTAGGTCCTGCTAAACTGTGACCCCTGTACTCCTTCAGCACATGTGCTCACCTGCCTGCCCCAATTACAATGGATATTTCCACAAAACATGACTGATTACCTTTTTCTCTTAAGACAGGGTCTTACTACATAGCCAGGATGGCCTTAAACTCACCAGCCATCTTCCTACTTCAGCCCCCAGAATGCTGAGTTTACAGGCATAGATCGCACACATCACAAGGACTGAATTTTTGTTTTTGAGGCAGAGTCTTATGTAGTCCAAGGTGGCCTTAAACTTCCTACGTAGCTAAGGATGACCTTGAACTCCTTTTATTTATTTATTTTCTTGATCTTTTTGAGACAGGTCTCCCTGTAGCTCCAGCTGTCCTGGAACTTACTATGTAAACCAGGCTGGCCTCGAACTCACAGAGATCCACCTGCCTCTGCCTCCCAAGTGCTGGGATTAAAGGTGTGTGCCACCAGGACTGGCTATGAGCTCCTTTTTAAAAAATTAAAATTTTTTATTTTTTTATTTTTGTATGTTTTGCCTGCAGGTATGTAAGTACATCCACTGTCATGCAATACCTGCAGAGGTCACAATAGGGTATCAGATTGATAGAGTAGCAAAAAGCCCCATAAATTTAACTGGTCCGGACTATAAAAATGTCTAGTCTGTCTGTTGGAGGACCCACTTGTCCAGTCTCATTGGTCAATTACCTGGTGATAGAACCACTCCTAGGAAGACAGTTTCCCCTTAAGTTATGCTAAATAGATGGGCAGAATACCTAGTGCGTTAATGAGGTAGCAAATATTTCCTGCCTGGAACTAGTGCAGACCTCTGCAGAACTTCAGGACCAGCCACAGTCATGTAGGTCTCTGTAAGTCTGTCTGCTTTCCTGAACTCTTCAAGAAAGCATAATTTCTCCTTTTCTTCTTCATTCCTTTCTTAGTAAATATGGTTTCTTTAAGGCTTTGGGTTGCCCCTAGCATCTTACAGTATTTATTTACTTTGTCTCTACAGCTTCCTTCTCTCAGCCATGTGGCTGTGAGTCACCCACACGTCTGACCTCCCACCCCGGCTGTAAACCTGCATGGCTTCCTATGGCTTTCTTTCCTTCTTCCCACCATTCACCTCCTCAAGGCAGCTGCCAAGATTACCTCCCCTGCCCTGAGGCTTTTTCTTTAAAATTCTAATAAAATTGTAAAAGCTTACATTTGGCTGATTTGGAATTTTTTGAGTCTGGTAGTCTTTCCAGGTGGTCCTGAAATCAGCCAAATTAAGCTTTTTCAATTTTATTAGAATTTTAAAGAAAAAAAAAAAAAAACCCCA